TGGGCTCACTGATCACTGACATGATGGGTGCAACCAACTTGGCAAAACGCACCGGCCCAATGAACCAGATTTAGCGCAAATGTTCCATCTCTTCCTATGCTTTTTTTCTTCATGTCAGACATGTCAGAAGGGATCAGAGGATGCCTTATGTCACGTCTGACACTAGTGAAAGCTTGGAGGATGGTCTCTGGGGACGGCAACCTCACTTTAATGCAACTGTGAGTGCCCAGATCCTCCTTCAGTCTTTGCTTAAAACGACGCATTTGCAATTGACTGAAACATCCAATGAAACCAGCATAAGTTTGAGTCCAGGCCTGCATGTGTGCATCAGCCTGACTGGGCAGTGGATGATAACGACACCCCAGATCCTCTCAAATGTAATGACGCAGAACAATTTCAGTTGACCAAAGCTGCCCCCTGAATATTTCAGGTTGCTGAATAATCTCGAGCACTTCCTTGAAAGTTAGAGACGAGGACTCGACAGAAGGCACGGCATCATCATTAAACCTTCAGACCATCCTGTCTTGGAGCATGTCATCAAACACAACACCAAAGTGCTCCAACAACTGGTGCAGCTTCGCCACGTCCTAGAACGGCTGCAAACTTTGAAAACTCTGGTCGACCAAGTCAGGCTTCAGCACTGCAGTCCCATCAGCAAGAATACTGCGTCCCATTTTCTTTTACTCTGTCTGAGCTTCAGGTCTCTCCACAAATCTCCTGACTCTCTCAAATTGGGCCATGTTGCTATGCGATCCATCTTCCTGTTCATCCGAAGACATCCTCGCACATCCCCTTGAATTATTTGCCTACCCAGCTGACATGACCGGCATAACCACAGGCTAAACCAAAAGCTATACTCTCTAGGATCCCTAAACATTTCTAAATTTAAGTTAAATGTACCACATGTAATCTATACTCACAGAAAGACGCAGCACAAGCACCAGAGCACTGCCAGAGAAGAACTTTGTTTGATAATCATGTAGGTTTTGCTTTCACGCAGGATCCGTTTCTGTTAAAAAAGCATTTGCTGCTTAGTTAAACCGAGTTAGAATGCCATTAAAAGTAAGTAAACAGAGCTAGCATACAAAAGGCATTAGCGAGCGGGAACATGAAAGTGAATGAGGAAGTGGAACTAAAATGGGGTTCATCCTTATTTCATTACGGTTCAATATTAAATGGGAGAAGATAAACCTCATCAACACCGAGGCGGCAGAGCGCCGGTGACACACGCTGCTGACACGCGATTGGCTGCTGACACGTTCAACCACGCATTTTTAAACGTGGCCTTGGTTTCATTTTTGTCAGTAAATGGGTTTTTTGCCATAAACAGAGACCAACATGTGTTTTCAAAGGGAAACCCAAGAACCTCATGACCATTTTAAACTTCAGATATTGGACAAAGTTGTGGCACTACTTTCATATCGCTGTACTAACATTGGTGCAATCCTTTGATGACACTGTTGAATTTAAGCCTACGTAACCCAAACATGTGGTCATGATTCACCTCTATGACCACAGGCTGCTTGTAAAGATGTTGGACAATCCAAAGAGAAGAAATCATTTGTAACTGATGCATTAGGCACAAAAAACCCCACAAATCCACCAGATTTTCCGCAACATTTAAATTAAAAAAACCTACAATTTCCCTTCCAAAATCCTGAATAATGGTATAGCAGTGATTGCATTTGGGTTTCTTGACTATTTCAGAGCTTTTCTCTTGAACCAACGGGGAGAAGAGGGAAGAGTCGGTACAGAGGAATGGGATTTTCATCGGGATACACTGCTGGTAACACACATGACTACAACCGTATGGCGTCACTCTCCACCCATCTCTTCCTCGCCATTCATGCAACCCTTTTTTCCATCCACCTTTGGGCTAGGTTTTTATTTTATTTTTTATTTCAGATATGGGTGTTGGCCAGGCTGCTCAGAGCCACAGCCAGTGCTGAGCATTGTGCCAAATTAAAACCCTCTTTGTTGAATCTCGAGCGCTGAAGGTCGTCAGCAGTTGTGTCACGGCAGAAGTAGCTGACTGATGTTGGAAATATCAAGACATGATGGACTACAGCTCTCTGGCCTGAGGGTAGAGCACAGCTACTCTCTGCTTGGGATACTCACTCTTTAAAACTTGCTCTAGCCACTGCTGCACATTCACAGCCCGCCAGACGACAACAGCAGCCGAGAAGCATCTCCAGAAAACCAAAAGCTGCACAGGTATCACAAATCATTTAGTTCAGAGCTAGAAATCAGGAAAAATCGGAGCTGATTTCTTGATGTTTCTGCTTTGAATTTATAGTGCTATAAGTGATCAAATGTGATGTCTGATTTGTGTTGTCGATTCAAAATGCCACAGTTGTGCAAAAAGGTGAAAACACATTAGTTCACAATGAGAAGTCTCTTTTCTTTGTCTGTTGCAGATTAAAGCTTTATACAGAAATTTACAATACATATGAACCTTTCACCCGATCTTGGGCTCATAAATAATGTACGGTACCTTTAGTAACTTATTGTGAACAAGACGTATCTGTTGAATTTCCAGGCTTTTTGCATTCTTTGACTTTTACCGACTACATCAACCACAATGAGTCGTGGACACATTTCATTCTGTCTGCTCTGACTCGTAGAACCGGTGAGGAAGGACAATAAAGACGAGTTCAAACCAGAGAAATCACTCTTTGAAGTATTTTAGATTTGTTAAAATTTGCTGTCAACTGTTACGAAAGCACTAATTGAAACACCAGAGAGAAAACACAAAGACTTGGCATTTGCACGAACCAACCACACAGCCATGGAGCTCCATGAACGGGCCGGAGGAATGTGTGAATACGTTACAGAAACGTTGACTGTTTGTTTGCATTTGAGTGATATTTAATATATTTTTTTAAAAGGGACCGGGGCTCTCAGGCTGATGATTCCCCAACCGAAATTGGCTGCAAATGGAAAAATTAAATGCGAAACGTCCCAAACTGCTGTTGAACATTACAAGCTTGTTCCAACAGTCAGAAACAAAGTGAAATGACATTTCTTCACCGCTCGCTCTCATTTCCTTCCTTCCACCGAATCTATAAAACAGCTCGAGAATGGCAGCGCTCCAAAACACAGAACGAAGACTTAACCTCAACTATAACATATTTTTACAATGGCTAACATCAGGCTAACGCATCTTGGCACATAAGCCTTCATCAGAGCATCTGCTTTTGGCAGAGCACCCAACCAGAGGAAGGTTATATGAGGAGGCGCACCTGCTATATGTTTTTCACTGCTTGCTCTCATTCTCATCAAGTGTGGTGTAGTCGCAGGACTGACAAGCTGCTGCCTGCAGCGTATTTAAAAAAGATACGGGTGAATAATATATACTTAATAAGCACAATTTGGGTCGCATCTGCTAAATATAATAATTACCAGCCGAAGGAAGGCAACAAAATGTAAACAGATGCACGTGTAAAATTAATTGGAAGCATGTTTAATATTCCTGAAATGTTTTAGCGTTACAAAGAGCAAACTGTCATGTGTCATCATTACATGATTTAGTTTCATGGAGTAAAACTTTTTTTTACACGCTTTGCATATTGAAATAAGTTGTAGGTAGGCTGTGATGTTCCTGTCTGACATTTACTGAAGCTTTCTTTTTCGTAAGTGGCATCAACGCCCTTTCACACTTGAATTTGTTCTTATCCAGGTTGTTTTCTCCTGACCAGATCCTTGCTTGTGTTGTAGCTGCTCTCAGATGCTTTGGATAAAAGCGTCTGCTAAACGAGATTGTAGAAAGTTAGTCCTCTCAGTGCTGACTTTGCTAAACAGATACACACAATTCATGGCTGATGATGATGAAAAGAAAAGAAAAGAAAAATCCCAAATGCAATGTATGTGCAGACGGACATATGATGTGTGAAACAAACAGTAGAAACCAGAGGACAGAAGTGCAGACTGTGAGTATTTGTGGAGAAGCATGAGGACAGCTTAGCGAGCATGGATTTTTTTGGGCATGTTAATATGTTTCCAGATACTGTTGATTTTCAGTCAAGCAACACTTGCAAAATTTGTTGATGACAGACACTCTGTTGTGTCATTTGCTCTTGTTAAATTGACATCCCACTCCATTAGCATGCCCGCCGAGCCTGCTTTGCTCTTTGTGGTTTTTTGCATGTATTAAGCAGCCATCTGAATATAAAGTTTCTGGATGTGTACACCAGAAATAATAAAGCTGGAGTTGGTAAGTTGCATTGAATTAGAGTCTTCACTGTACCTGTCAGTCAGCGTTGAGGGATGACGTCATTAGCTCGGAGCCCCCACATGCTAATGTCAACACAATTATCCTTTATTCTCTTCAGCCTGCGCGCTGCAGCTACAGGTGCCATGCTTAATTTGCAAGAATTGATTTTTTTCCCTTCCAAATTTGTTAAAGTAATTAGCTAAATCATTGGCAATAAGCTAGCTGGCCATCCAAGTACACAACTATTTAATCGCTGCTTTATCATATACTGCTGCTGAATAACTAAATATGAGAAAATAGTAAAACAATCAACCGCATTCATGAATGACTCGTCCCCCTGTGCCGTGTGTCTGTTTCAGCATTTATCAAACAGACATCATCCTAATGAGCAGATTCACAAGCTCTAATAAAAGTTAATGGGGCAAACGTATGAGGCAGAGCAACACGAAGAAGCCATAAAACACGTCTAATCAGAAAAGTATTAAAAAAATAATACAAATCAATACATTGACTTTGCTAGTTTAAACATAGCGTTCTCCATGTGTGCCCTACTTCTGGAGGAGCAGCAGCCATCTTCGATATGTGAATAGATGCATAGTAATGACATGGTAGCAGTCACTTCAAAGCTCTCCCCCTATATTTCGCCACGGGGGCCAACTCTTTCGACAGATTTCAGAGGGATGACTCGCAAGTATCATCTGACTCGTAAAAAAAAAAAAAAAAAAATACTCCTTCGCCCGAGCTCCCCCTCCCCGCCCCCGAGACGAGATGCAATCACAGCACGTACCTCCAAAATCAGGCCTTAAACGGATGTCATATCCCTTCAGCAACTTGTCCACGGTGGTCTTGGCCACAGACATTCCGGAGCTTCCAGTGGAGGAGCTGAGGGCACAAAAAAACCACAAGAGGCGTTCGTAAGCAACACAAACAAGGACCGTCTGATGAGAGTTTCTCCACAGCACACCTACTGAAAAATGATTACCGCACGTACTCTGTGTTCTCGGCACTAATGACACGAACGCCACCTTTGAAGAGGAAGCCTTTACGTCAGTACGGTGAGGCTTTAGCAGGAAGCAGGGATTTAGGGTGCATTAAACAACACCTAACATACAAATTAATCCGTGCATGCATGCATCCCACTTCCTCCAAACTAACTCATCAGATTGTCACTCTCAGTGAGCCTCAGTTTCAATTTTACATTCTTGACTGTCACCTCCGAACAATTAGGATAAATTTTTAATTGACAATCACTCTGTGAGGAATTAGATGCATTTTTTGTTTTGTGTCCAAATTGACAATCACTCTGTGAGGAATTAGATGCATTTTTTGTTTTGTGTGTGTGTTGCAGGTTCACTGCGTTAATACTGAAGGCCCTGTTGTGTTGTTGTCATGGGGGGAGGTTTAAATGCATGTTTCCCCCTTTTAAGATAAGATCAGATCAGATAACCCCGTTTTAATACCACAGTGGGGAAATTTGCGATGTTACAGCAGCAAAGATAGTGCAAACATTTAAGGAAAAGTAGAAATAAACCAAAATATACAGAAGTAATCTACAGCATATTAATCACAGGAGGGGTGAGACACAGATGCCACTCCTTCAAAACAGTGACTTCTTTGGCTCTCCATCAGACTCCTGTGTGTTTAAATAAGCACAGGGTTATAACACAGCCTCCCATCACGCTGTCAGAGGCCTCATCGGTCAGAGCCTGGAGACAGACAATCCCCAGGAGGACCGTATGGCCCGTTCTAGTCTGACTGACACCTATAACGTCGCTGCCGTGACCTGCATCACCTGGCTGAGACCAGCTCTCCAGCTGAGGTACCTCGTTACAGGCGGAGAGGGGAAGGCGCGGAGCGAGCGTGGAGAGGGGAGACGAGGGGGAGGAAGTGGGTTAAAATTGCTCCCTTGGTGGGAGAACTGGCCCTGGGCTCAGCCTGGGAAGCACTGTTCAATTAGCTCATAGGTAGTGCAGCTGTTCATCAAGCTGGCCGCTTCCAGGACTTGTGGGTTTGACACCTGAGAGCATCGCTGTGAGGGAGCATGAGTGACACCTGGAACACATGCAGGATTACGCCTGTTTTATGACTTATTCAGGGGGAATGGAATCAAGCAACAAAAAAAAAAAAAAGTGCAGCCCAGCTCTCAGTGAGCACTTAAACCTCAGGAGGTTGCTGCAGACGAGGAAAGGCCACCAGGGATCTACAACAGTGGCTTCAGCATCAAAACAATAAAGTGATGAGGAGCCTGTGCAGTGATTTATGTTGTAAACACTCAAACAGCCGGAACCAGAGTTTATTTATGAGAATCTTCAGAAGATCAGAACCTGCTGGCTTCAGATTTCACCCACTTCTGTGGATAAAATGGGCCAATTAGGATGATTATATGAATGAGAATACTGAAAAAAAAAAACATAAGTAGGGTTGGAGGCTGAGTGGCATCTTAGACTCATACATGTTGCTGCGCGCCACGGCACTGATCAATCGATGATTGGCTGATTGATCCGATCATCTAATCATACTGGAGCCCACAGAGGGATGTGATCTGAGGGAAGGATCGCAGTGAAACTCCAACACACACACACACACACACACGTATATGTGGGGTTTGATATCGGGAGTAGGTTACGTTTCACAATAGGCTGGATGACGTGCACGCGCATGTTTTTACGCTCGCGCGCGCCACAGCAGCGTCTAATAGGGACTATATGGGCAGCGATGCCCCTAATAAGTAGGCCTGGGTACCCCGTTAATGCGATTTGCCACATCTCAGCCCTTTATTGACCGGTAATCACGTCTACTGGTGTGAAAGCTTTCTCTCTTTTTTTTTTTCTCTCCTCCCTCCTCCAAGCGACGTTTTTCTTACCTTTGAACAAAGCATACGAAGGACAAAGCCGCCAGAGCAGAGAAAATTCCACATAATTTATCTTCTTGACGACCCAACATCTCCACAAATCCTTTTATATAGTTTCTATAATCCAACCAGTCCTGTGGTCCTCCCCGAAAATGCACAAAGTAAAAAAACAAAAAAGAAAAAACAAAAACAAAAAAAAAAACTGGCAATCAAAAAAATAATTGCCTTTTAAAAATGCCGTGTGAACGAGCCTACATCTACGCATGCGATGTCTTCATTAAAACAGGCTTCTTAATTCTTTATTTTTTTTTTTTAAATCTCGTAATTGGCCCCCGCTGTTTGTTCCCCAGCTATGGAAATCCGTGCAGGTCACAGAGCCCCTCGACCAGCACCAGAAGATCAGACATCCTGCTCAGAAAAGCCAACAAAAAGCCCAACAGAAAAAACAGCACACACAAGACTTTCTAAAAGTGATGACAAGTGTTCTTCCCCCTAAAAACACAAACACTGGCATGAATGACTGAGCAGCAGCCTCTGTAAAGATCAAATTGGTGGATGAAATTTCCCAGTCCAAATCTGCAGAAGAGGCATGGTTCCAGCGAGGCTCCGGCGCCCAGACTATTCCACAACGTGATGTTGTTCAAAGATATTTGTTTGAGCTGGAAACGCTGGTCGGCTGGAGGGGAGCGGTGGGTTCAGAAAAAAGAAAAATGAAATCTTCATTCCCTGCTTTTTCTTGTTTTTTTTTTTTTTTGTTGTTGGTTGCTTTTTTTTTTTTTTTTTTTTCTTCTTCACCCCAGGTTGCTGCTGCTGCCGCTGATGATGATGTAGATCAGCGCAAAGTCACTGAGGGGAAAATGCACATTGAAAAAGCACTGGGTAATATCTGATGCAGACGTCAGAGCAGGCTATATCACTCCTCTGGTGGAAAAAAAAAATAAAAAAATTAGATGCCGGAGAAATATGGATGGCCCCTGATACGCCAATGCATGTATCACAGCGTCGGATTACATGTCAAAGATGCAAAAGCTATGTGAAAAGTCCACTTGCCTCCGCTGCCCAACGGTAAATGGCGTTGGGAGCGCGTTAGTGTGGTCCGGTCCGCTTCTCCTCCTGGAAACACTGAACCAGTGTCCAAAGAGGCATGATGATGATGATGATGATGGTGATGATGATGAGGGAATCTCGTCTCCTTTGAGCCTTCCGACTTTTTTTTTTTCTTTCTCTAGTTGAAATTAAAATGCTGTCCTGCTGGGGGGGAGAGGGGGGGACACCTAAGGTGAATTCCTTAGCGACAGGCTGTTCACGCGCTCACTTGTCTGTCTGTTCGCTGTGGAGCCCATTAGGATGCTGGGAGTGTGTGCCGGCGCGTTTTCATGCGTTTCTTCCACTTTGCCACATTTTTTTTTTAAACACACACACACATAGAGGCACACGCGCCTACACACACTGTCATGCGTTCAGCCGCACACGTGCGCGCGCACACACAGCACGCACACGCACCTTGTTTATTTATTTAATTGCTCATCACGGAGCAGGACTCGCTCTTTTGTTTTTGTTTTTTTTTTTTGTTGTTGTTGCGTTTTGGAACACAAACATCCTGACTGGAAATTGCCAACAACGCGCACATCACAATTGAAGAATCGCGCAGAGCTTGTGTTTTATACAGAGGAGGAGGTTTTCTTCAGGGATCTCTGTGCTGTCCAGTTGCTAAGCAACCCAGCCAGCACTGATGCAGTTGTGGTGATTCGAAGGCTATGCGCAAAGGCTCATTTAAAGGAGTAGACCCAGTGCTGTCACCACTGTGGTGTCAGTGGGACAAAAGCAGACAGCAACTGATGTACCGTGGAGCCATTTCTGTTTGGGTAGTAGGGGGGGAAACGCCATTTACAATAATGCATGTAGAAGAAATGTGGCGTGTCAGGGCCAGCCTATCACACTCTACTTTTGCTTCATCATCACTGTCCTCCTCTTCATCATCATCACCCCCATCATCATCATCATCATCATTGTCAGGGCCACGAGCGCTGTGACGAATAACCGAGTCAATCAGACGACGGCTTCACATTTTTTTGTCTTTTGAATTTGGAAATGCAACCAACAGACTTGTGTTACTGTTTTAAATCCTCTGCCGTCCTCCATCATGAGGAGAATTCACTTTTGATAGGTGATGTCACAGCTGTATACATGAAGTGGCAAATAGAACAAACAGAACTTTGTTTGGACTTTCTGGTGTTTACATGCGTCACCTAAACGCAAACAAAGAAGCGGATTCATTTTACAAACACGGTTTATTAATAACTGGACGGACTAAATGCAGGGATTTGAAAATGCAATCACATACCGCACATCAAAGAGCAGCACCATGACTGACCGAGCCCCGGCACCCAAGGGTGGTGCAATTAACATACCATGATCTTCACAGTTCATACTTGTTGCATCACAGCAGTTAACAGTCATCCTACGAGCTCTGATGAACGTGATGTCTGATTCAGTGGGCTGCCTGTGAGGGTTCAGTGGGGATATTGGAAACAGTAGTTTGACCCAAAAAACAAAAGATAAAAAAAAGTCCTAACCGAGGCGATCCAATAGCCGAGTGGTGAGGGCTCGTACCACATGGGCACAAATGCTCTGAGCAGTGATTCCCAGCTGGCCGGACCATTTGCTGCGTGTCATTCCCCTCCTCTCCTTCCCCATATTTCCTGTTTCTCCACACTGTGCTGAATAAAGGCAAAATGTTCCCCCCTCCCCCCCAAAAAATACATAAATAAATAAATGAAATCCTGACTCAAGGTCTGAGATGCAGCTGAAAACTGGTGTAGACTTTTTTTTTTTTACTGAATAAGTCAGAACTAAATCTAAATCAAGTTTGTGTAGCGTACTTTCTCTGAGATGCCGTAAAGCTTTCGTGAAGAGCGTCTCTGCAGCGAAATGTTAGAGCGACGCCTCAGAGAGAGTTCATATCGCAGCCTGTTTAACTGTCTGCAGCTACTATTTAAGTAGACCTACAAGATTATAATTTCGTCAAATAAATGTCCATCCATCCATTATCTATACACCGCTTAATCCCAGCTGACTCAGGGCTACACTTAGAGACAGACAACCAAGCACACTTACACCTACGGCCGATTTAGAATCACCAATTAACCTCAGCATGTTTCTAGAGGAAGCTGGAGAACCCGGAGAGAACTCACGCTGCACGGGGAGAACATGGAGACTCCACCGGGACGCGAACCGGCGACCTTCTTGCTGCGGGGCGACGGTGCTAACCATCATAGGAGTAACAATAATACATGGTGATGTTTGGCATTTGTTCATTTTCACACATAAGGGACTCTGACATTTGTTGATTCATTTATTTTAGTTAAGCAGTTTTATGAATTAAAGTGTTGTCTCTGTTGTTTCGGGAGAGCAGGGCAGCATCTTTATAGATTTACATTAATTGCACCTTTTCTGCTGGTTTAGTTTAAAAGCTGTTTGATTATGTTTTGTTTCATTGTTGCAGCTGCTAATCAGACCAAGAGTTTTGCAAAACGACAGCAGAGGTTGATGTTTGGAGTTAGACGGGAATAAAATAATGTGAGTTTAGGTTACAGGTTAGAATGATTTGGGGATAATATCTAAACACAATCTTTCTGACAGATATTGTGATTTGAGTTGGGACAGAATTTCTTTTAGTCAGTAGACTGTGATCAAAAACATGTGATGCATCATTACCACATGAAATATCTCACAAGGAGGACGCCATGAATGTGTAAACCCACTAACACAAGTTTAAACTGGCTCATAACAGATATCTATGAGTTGCAGCTTTTATGATTCACTAATTGCACTGTTTCAATTTGAAATTGATTAATAGTTCAGTTCTAGTCGGTTGGGGAACAGAGCACACAGATAGCTATATTTACCATAATGTAGGCTAGGGCTGCAAGGTGGAGCGGTGGTTAGCACCGTCGCCTCGCAGCAAGAAGGTCGCCGGTTCCCGGTGAGGACACCCGGGATCTTTCTGTGTGGAGTCTCCATGTTCTCCCCGTGCAGCGTGGGTTCTCTCCAGGTTCTCCGGCTTCCTCCCACAGTCCAGAAACATGCTGAGGTTAATTGGTGATTCTAGATTGTCCGTAGGTGTGAATGTGAGTGTGCTTGGTTGTCTGTCTCTAAGTGTAGCCCTGTGATAGACTGGTTACCTGTCCAGGTGAACCTGCCTTCACCCTGAGTCAGCTGGGATAGACTCCAGCCCCCCATAGTGAGGATGAAGGTGTAGAGATGATGGACGGATGGATGATGTAGGCGATTTCTAACTCATCAGCAATTCTGTGATCTGGGTTTTGAAAAAGCTGCATTAACATATGAAGCTGAGTTAAAGGTTCGGTTCAGTCAGTCCCACTGCAACCATTTTCATACAGTCCCTAAATGTAAGGACTCATCTATCCTACAATCTGTGGTAGATAACTACATTTAAAATAATATTTAGTGACTAAAATCCAAATTATTTACCAGAATATTTTGAGCACAAACTGGCTTCATGTATTCTAATTTTTAATCTTGAATTTTTAATTGAATCAACTCGTGTGTAGCTGCCACGGCAACAGTAACTGTGCTGGATAACTGCTGAAAAAGCAGACCCTATATGCCCACATATGTCTTCTTTCAAAGCAATCCATCTCCCACAGGTTGTGTTGGGGAGCTTCAGAAGAACAGTGGAAGTACATAATGGAGTTGGAGCCTATGTGACAGCGTGCTGGATGGATCCTCTCAGTCTCTGGGCATGCTCAGTCTGCTCTCCACTATAGCCACTCTCAGCCACAATAGTGATACCATTCACAGCATCCCCTGATTACTGCAATTAACTGTAATTGGCATCTATGACAAGGAGATCCAAGTCCCTGAGATGTGCATGTACCATGCGCTCTTCTTTTTTTTCCCTCTCTCTCTCTCTCTCTCCATTCATATGTTGCATAACACATGTGAGTTACTGGGTCACCCTTGCTCCTCTGATATAAATAGTATCACATGGTTAATGCATTGGTGCCTTCCAGTCACTCGCTTTTGCTCTTGCTGTTCATATCTGTCAAACACCCCGATCGACTTTAAG